TGGCTGATGGACATTGTGACGTCATCATATTGCCATCTGAATTCAACAAACTGAATATTTTCGATGACCTCATTTTAACAAATGCGAATTTGAGCGTATCTCGCTTATTCTTGATCGATTGTCTTCCAACTCTCTTTCCAATTCTCTTTCATATATGTGGCATTTTTTACATTTTGATGACGTCATCATGGCCAAAATATAGGGATTTGCTTACCCCCCTCATCTTTCTTTCGTCAAGCCTTTGATGACCCCATAATCACCTTAATTAGTCGTGATTTCTGAATCATATTTAGTGGGTATAAACTTCAGGTCATAGTTAAATGTTATGTACATTATATTTTTGTGCGCGCGTAATAACGCGAGCGTTCGCGTGCGTCAAAATTAATATATATTTTATATCATGTCTTTTTTTTAATCAGTTATACAGTAGCTCCTTAGGATGAAAGGTGACCCCTAACTTTTATTACATATTCTGAAAGCACATGAGTTGTAGATATGATTTTATATATCATAATAGCTGATCGGACATTGTGACATCATCATATTGCCATCTGAATTTTTTTTAAATAATTATTTCTTTTATCAAAACGTTGATGACGTCATATCATCTTAACCATTCGTCATTTCTGAATAATATTAAATAGGTTATACATCAGGTCAAGGTGTAATGTTAGGTATCTTACTTTTTTGTTTGTGCGTCTTAACGTGCGCGTACGCGTGCATCAAAAATTACATATGCTTATAATTATGCCTATTTATAATCAAATATAGCTCCTTAGGATGAAAGGTGACCCCCAATTTTTATTACATATTCTAAAAGCACATGAGTCACCATATTGCCATCTGAAGTAAAAAAACTGAATTTTTATATATGAGAAATACTATGAATGATCATTACTCCTTCACCAACAGGCGTTTGTCAATGAAAGTTGATACATATATATCTCATATCAGGAGACAACAGTGACATTAAGATGCGTACGTGCGTCATGACGTGCGCGTACGCATGAGTAAATCTTTTAAAATGCTCAAAATTCTTTTTTAACAAACTAAATTAGCGTATTTTGCCATTATCAGCATTTAAATATTGTTCAATCCGCACCACGCACACTTCCTCGTGGGTCAAAGTGCGGCGGATCACCTTCCTTCAGTGACGAGTTCAAATCTAGTTGTTATTATTGTTAGCAGGGCATATTCCCATTGGGGAACTGTATTGTTTTTAGTAACCACTGTTATATGTATTATCATGCTTACATTTCTTGGTTATTTTTATAATTTGTTTTTAGCTTCTTGCTGTTGTATACGACACGTTTACAGGAATTGAGAAGAATAAGTTTAAGAAGCTATTTATGCACAAAAGAACAGGTGCTGCTAAAGCGTTTCGTCTGCTATGCAGTCGCAAGGTATGTATTCTCCTACTTTTCCCGGTTTTACCTTTTTAAAAATGTGGTCTGTAGAATACAGTAATAATTATGTATTAACTTCGATGACATTATAAAAAAGTAAATACGTTTAATAAATAAAAATAAAAAAATAAGAAGTATTTATTTTAAGTTTTATGTTGCCTGACATACTGTACATAAGAAGAAGTAGTAAAGATTATATAATATACATGTTATAATATACCATTGATTATAGTAAGATTATGCATTGTTTTATAATACACACCCAATAGCTCCTTGTTTTATTAGGTTATTATTATGTATGTATAATTTTATGTAAAGATGATCAGGGAAGGAAAAGCCACTTGATTGTTCTCTTTTGGGAATTCTCAAATAATAAAAATCTTGTTTTTAATGTATTTTTATGTATGCTTTTTGCAAAAATATAGAATTAAAATAAATGAAATTTCCTTCTTTCTTGTAATGTGCTCAACAAGACAAACTGGGGCTTCTTGATGTCTGTAAGCCACCATAGCTGTGTTCTTGCTTCTGCAAATTCTTTTCTCACAGTTCTAACACAATACAATACAAAACAGTAATTATGAAAAATATTTTGATATTTTCATTATAATTATTACAATCTCCACAGCACTACGGTAAACTCAGCTTCACTCATTTCCAAGGCCTTCTGCGTTATTACCGGCCGAGTTTGAAGAAACATGCTATACTGCTGGCATTCAAAACCCTTGATAAATCCGAGTCAGGAATTCTCAGCCTAGATGAGTTCTACGATGTATACGAAGTAACTAGACTGAGCTGGGCGTCAAAACGAGACCAGAGACTTTGGTTTGAGAACCTTCTAAGGCCATTGGATTGTCCATTTAGATGCATTTATCGACTTGTAACTTCCAAAGTTTTCAACGTCTTTATTTGTAAGCATTTTTTAACTATATTTGTCATAAAAATAGCAGTGGAGGTCTTGTTTGGTGTTTAAGATCTGTTTTATTTTCCTTAATAAACATTTTTTTATTTTCACTGAAAGTGACTACATACCAGAAATTCAAGTGTAGGGCACTATAAAAATGTGATAATATAGTTATTAAAAAAAATAATCATAATAGTAAAATGAAAAAATAAAAAAATGATAAATAATAATGATGTTATTGCTTAAAGTAAACAAAAAGATTTAAGATTAAAAAAAATAACTTTAAGTCATCTAAACATGTTATGTTTTCCAACGCTTCTTTTCTATTCTATTTCTCTTCCAATGCGTTTATTATCAGTCTTTAAAGGACTTGCACAGAATGTGCTCAGCATACTCAAACTTTTTTAGCTGCAATCTTTGCCTTAAGAATGCGTAACTTCTCCAAACAGTTCCAAAATCTTGACAGTTAATTTAGGAGTATAAATATGTATGAATATTATTATTCTTATAAACAATAACTTGTATATTCTATTATTGATATATATTACAGACTTAGTGATAGCTGCCAATGGCATCCTGTTTTTTGTGCGAACCATCCTCATATCACGTAAGTCAGCTAGAGTGTCAGGTTGTTGTGCCATTGTTAGGACCATGTTAGCCAGTCTGATGTTAGCCAGGCTTCTGACCAGTCAATTGTTAAAAGATGATGTTAGCCATGCAAGTTTGACCAATCAAATGAGACAATGACCCTATACTGACTATGACTATATATTACCTAACCAATCGGATGATACTATGGCCCTTACTAATTATGGCTGTAGTAGTATGTAACCAATTGGATGAGGCAATTGCCCTGATAGATTATGGCCCTATAAGTTCACTAATTCGATCAAGAAACAATGACCTTTCCAGACAAATAAGTTTTTTATAAGATTACATTGAGTCAATGTTATCCGTACATAAATTATTATATTGTTCTTTATTTGTTTTATTTTCTTGAATAAATAAGAAATGAATAGGTGAAGAAATAAATAGATTATTAGAAACAGTGCACACATGTAAGAACAAGTGGTGGTAGAATCATATCAAGCTCTTTAACAAAATTTGTTGGAAAAGTGTGCTTCTGGCCATTCTTCGCAACCTTTCACTATCAAGCACCTGATAGTGAGAGGTTGCAGAATCAAGCTCGAGTGTATATCATTTTTGTAATACATTTTTTTATTAACTAAATTTTTTTTTAAATACCATATCGTTACATGATTTATGTGTATCTTATGATCTTTACATTTGATTTACATCATTTATTGTAATTCATGTTTATTACTCAATGCTTGCTCTAACTTAATCCTACGATTGTTAAATTTTCAAATCCTTTAAATCTTCTGGTTGAAATACAGAGCTTAAAGCTTTGTCCACACTGTCAAATTTTCTTTGACAAGAAAAACGATTGTATGCCCATATATAGTCATGATGTGGCTATATATGGTCATGATGTGATGTAATCATGACCATATTTAGGCATATCGCGTGGTTTTTGTCGGAGTTCAGTCTAGGCAGTGCTTTATACTGGATCTGTTTAATAATATCTGCCACATGCTCATTATAATATTCTCATTATTTTATTTATAAAGATAATCATGATTCTGACTACATTAAAGAACAGTTAAGCCAAGTGACCTGGTATGACTGGTTATTTGTTGGCAGTAAGTACATTTTTAAATTTATTGTTTAAAATTTTCTATAATTATATTAATACCATATTTGCATATTTAAATATTACCTGACTATTATATATCTCAAATTAATAGAACGTTCTTTTAACGTACAAGTACATTTTCTTTGTTCTTTTGTTACTTTCTTAGTGAAAGTTGTTATTAATATTGTTATTAATATTGCTATAATTACCATTAGTATTGTTATCATAATCACTTTTATTATCTTATTAGTTTATGGTGCTGAGTGCCTCTTAAAAATAATTGGCTTTGGTGTAAAAGGCTACTTCAGATCTGGATGGAATGTGTAAGTTTGTTTCACAAAATTGAATGCATTCTAATGATAGCGTGACTTATTTTTTGGGAGGTTCGTTTCTGTGGAAAGTGGACTCTTTGGCTTGTATGATCTCCGATACTCTGGAGAACATTGTAAATATGTCTACGAATATCAATTTTTCGTTTTTAAATGCAACCTTCTCCAGTTTTTGGGCGGTGTGTCGTAACCCCCTTAACCCCCTCCGCCCCACGCTGCGGGCCTGTAATAGTAATAGCAGTGGTGGCAGCAGTAGTGGCGAAAATAGGTTATAGTAGTAATAATGACTATAGTAGTGGTAACTCAGGGAATATCTTTTGTGTTTTTTTCCCTTAATTTCATGTTATTTCCCCCTTAACATCATTTTTTGTAATTGTTCTCTAATTTCTCCAATCGTCTAAGTTCTCTTTAAGGTAGTTTTTAGTAACAATAATAATAATAATCATCATCATAATAATAATAAACTAATATGTTTTGGTGAGTTTACCATTAAATATTTTTGAAATCTGAAGCTTGGTCCAGTCTATCAAATATAGTCATGATGTGCCTATATATGGTCATGATGTGATGTCATCATGACCATATTTAGGCATGTCACATGAGGTTTGACAGTCTGGACAGGTCTTAGAATCTTAGAATAGGAATAATAATATTGTCATTTGTTGACTTTTGTAGCACAAAACAATAAGCAATTGCTTTATGTTGAAGTCTAACTAAACACATGCACAGACCAAATGTAAATGAATTGGAGGGTGGCAAAAAATGACCTAAACTTGACCAAAGTAGCAGGCTCACAGATTATGGCAGGCAGGAAATTCCACAATTGTAAAGCAAAAAGCTTCTCCCCGTAGGTCTTAAAATTTATTGTTTAAGATCAAAAATATTTATGATTACAATCTTGTTTTTCTGTCATCAGCTTTGATTTTGTAATCACCGTATCAGCCATCTTCGGTGTTTTGACAACCATTGTTGATACCGACCTTTACTATGTGGTGGTGCTAAGGCCTTTAAGACTGCTAAGGTAATGAATTATGTATTTAATCAATCAAATAAATCAATCAGTCATACAAAATATGTAACATACCAAATCCTGTGGAATGCGTGGTGTTCAAATATTTCTTTCAAAGACAATAAATGTTTTTGATCTTTTAGTCTTATTTATTAATTTATGTTCCATAATTTTTGTTTAAGAGTTTGAAAAGGAGAAATGTTAACTTTTAATTTTTTTTATTTCATTTATTCTTCTCATAAAACAGCAGAAAAGTACAACGATTCACATAAAAAATGACAAGGAGACAGGAAATCCAAAAAGAAATCTAAATCAACTATCCAGTGGATTACTACAGATATATATTGATGCAGGCTCAATATTATCACAAAATATATAATATACCATAATCAGCCCTTAAAATATTCAAATGAAAAACTGAATACTTTATACATCAAGTTCTACTGTAGTCTGAAAAAACTATCTTCATTCACTCTACTTTGCTTATTTTTGTGTATATATACTTACTGTACATATAGGTATTCATATTTTTTTTATAATACAGATTATTCAAAGTAAAGAAGCGTTACCGCGATGTCTTGGCAACATCCTACGTCTTGCTTCCAAGGTTGTGGAGGTAGGCATATTTATTATAACCAAAGGGTCCAATTGTCTTTTCCTGTATTTTACCTTTCCCGATTATCATAACAAGCATTCAAAACATTAGAAAAGAAAGCCCACACACTTAGAAATTGCCTAAACATTCCAAAACTGTGTTATGCAGCAGTAGAGGTGTCTTTTGTTATACATCTGTTATATTTTGTTTCATGCTTGTTATATTTGTATATCTGTTATAGTTTTGTTATGTATTTGTTATATCTGTTATATATTTATTTTTGTTGTATATCTGTTATTTATTGTTATATATTTGTTATATTTTTTTAGACCTTATTTATATTTGTATAGCTTGTTAGTGTTATATTTTGTTATATTTTATTATAATTGTTGTATCTTTCCCTATATCTTTGTTATATTTTGTTATATCTTTTTTATATTCTTTCACAGTGTTTGCATTGTGCTTGTCATCATGTATTACTTCTACGCGATCATTGGAATGGAACTCTTTCATTACCTTCCACTGGAGAACTGTTGCCAGTAAGTTATTACTTTATTATATAGGTAATGAAAGTGATAAATAATATAATTATTGTGATTAGATTATAATCAGTATCAGTGTTGTAGCCCCAACTTTTTAAATGTAATGTAAAGGTAGGCAATTAACCTATAACTTGCAGCATCATTGCACTGAATTGCATATGGTGGTGATCAGTGGCATCATAGATGACATAGATCAGAACAGTGGCTAACCCCCTACTCTACTGAAAGATACACTGGGTCCTTTAAAATTCACATGAGCCAGAAATGTACACAAGCCAGAAATGTAACTGGGTTTCATGTTTTGAGATTTATCCTACTTGGTTCTACCAACCGAACTGTGAACGAGAAGAGTTTTAAACCAGTTCTATTGTTCGGGCTATGTAGGTTGTGGCGGCCCTACTATACCTCTTCAAAACCATTCAATTGTCCAACATTTTCTGTGATGACTTCAGTTTTTTCATGACAATTATTCTGAATCTAGATCTGTATCTGGTTTTTGTTTCTCATACCATTATTTCCAGTAATGATATTTCTTTTTTTTTTAGGAATACGTCTTTTGCTAATTACTACAGCAATTCATCTCAATTTATGGAATTTTTTTATTTAAATAACTTTAATGACATTATATATAGTTATGGTAAGCATTTTTACTTGTTATCAATTTTTTAGATTTTATTGTATAGAAATTGACATTTTTTATTAACTGTACTTGAGGTATAATTGAATAATTGATTAATAATTTGTAGAACATCTATAATATAATCAATATGTTCATCTAGTATTTGACAATAAGAAGCATGCGTGGCATGGTAGTAAAGCATTAGGCTTCCATCCTGATGGTCATGAGTTCTAGTCTGTTCCTAGTCACATTGCTTGTGTTTAAACAAGACATTTAATATATAAATTTGCCTCTCTCCAACTCAGTAATGTAACTGGTTACATAAGGATAGAATGGACTGTAAGGAAATATGTTTTTGACTAAATTACATGCATGATTATAGGAACTGTAATGATGCCCTTGAGCTGAGGGCTGCATATTGTGTATGGTGAATTCTGTATCCATTTACTACAATGTTTGCCAATAGAGACTCGGGTACTATGTGATATCCATTCCTGCTAACAGAACATAAATCACTGCACTTTCGGTTTGGGTGTGAAAATTCTTATAAAATAAAATTACATTTAGAACAGGGAACAGTTCCCAGATTTAGAAAAACATGCCAAAGGAATGCTATTCATTTTACATGATAAAAAATAAATATTAATATTTTGTATTTACAGTAACCTTATTTGAACTCACCGTTGTAAACAACTGGCATATCACTATGGTAATTATAAATTCATTTCATATGTTTTCCTTACTACTTCTGTTGTAAATTGTTTGGTTCGTTGCTCATGGATAACATTTCCAGCTACCCCTGAAGCTGATGCTCGGATCCTTGCTTAAAAAAAATAAGCAGTTCACTACTCAATTCAAGACCCCCTTTTGGACCTTTGTGTTAAAAGATTGATTATTTGGTTTTTGCAAAAGTGGTCTCGAATTAAAGGGGTCTCAAATTGGAGGTTGCACATTAGAATATTAAAACATTTTTAAAATCTTTTTAGAGTGGTGTTGCCGAAGTGAAGGGTGAATGGAGCAGAGTCTATTTTATTGTGTTCTATCTCTCAAGCATGGTACGTTTTGATTGAAAAATTTATCTAATATTCTTTTTGTGAAAGTTTGTTTATTTATTTATTTTACTATGTTTTAAGAGGGTAACTCTTACAGCACCTAGAAGAGGCCCTCTGTGTACAGTACAATAATACAATACAAAAAAATGTACAAGAAACGAACAAGAAAAAATAAATAAGTAATTAAGTAAGACACCAGGCAGCAGAAAGCAACGGAATAAGAAGAGGATTAATGAATAAATTTGAAGTGGGATTTTAGTTGTAATTTCAAGAATGAGAGAGTAGAATCATTAAAGAATGAGAGAGAGTTCAGGAGAGTTGTGTAGCAGGTGCGGATCCAGGATTTTCCCTGACCTTCGCACAGATGGAGTGGTCCTTGCAGTGGTGGATCCAGAAATTCAAAATAGAGGTTGCCCAGAGCGGAACCATCACAGACAGACACCTCACCCCACCATGGTTGTGGCTGAGGTAAGAAAAATTAAGATTACACCGCCTCTAGATGGCCGGAAATGGCACTCTCATGATTTGAATATAATTTTCAGTTTTTTCTCCATTAAAAATAATTTTGATATATTTACGGGGGCCCGGGCCGACTGGGTTCCCCTAGAATACGCCACTACATGGGGGAATACTCTAACGCTCAGGTGAACTAGGTTTTTAAAACAAATATTGTTTATTACAGAATTTCTATAAAAAGATAAATGAACAGATTCTTGAGAGAAAGAGAGAGATAGAGGACTTTATGGTTGTTATACAAGATTACTCTGAAAATTTATTCAATTCAATTATTCAGAAAACATCCGGAACAGAGAAGTAAAATGGTACAATAACTTTAAAACAACAGAACAGTTTCATTAACACGGACAATTTCATCACATAAACCAGAATAATTGAAATAAAAACCTAGGAAAAATTTTACAAATTCTCAAAATAAAAAATTCAATCAAATCAATAAAACACCACTTTAACACTTAAACACACCATACAACAACCAATCAAAGACGGATTATTTTACTTGATTCAAATTTCTTTTTGCACTTTGATTCCAGTTGAAATATTATAATTATAACTATTGTCATTCCACGTAGTCAAACAAAAGTCTATCATATGACAAAATTCAAAATTCATTTAAAAACTGAAAGTTAAAGTTTTCTTACAGTTATGTTTTAGACACGGGTTGGAAAGTGCATTTTGTAACTCTTCATTTACAGTATGTGCAATCAAATGTAACCTGTGTAAACACACTGAAGTTTGAAGCAGTTTTTGTTTCAGTTGTACTATAATACTTATACATCAAAATTCTATTGCTTCCAATAGTTTAAAGGAAACTTATTAATAATAATTAATGATAATATGTTATAATATTATTATTATTATTGACTGGTTTGAGGCCGAAGGCCAAGGATTGTCAAGTAGTGAACTTAGTCACTATTCAAAGTGACATGTCCCTTCACAAGACAAATATAAACACAAGATGCTCTCATTATGAGTTGTTTTTGTTGTGAGAAAAAAATCCTGTTACTGTGACAGGATTAGAACCCAGGATCCTGGAATTGGAAGGCAAGCATCTTAACTACCAAGCTGTTCAACTCTATAGATATATACTATTCTAAAGTTATTAAATGTAAAATAATAATAATTTGTATTACATTTTAATATTTTATGACTTTATCAAAGTTTTGTGCAAAATTTCACATAAACAATTTTAAATTTGTTGTCTTTAAATCTTTGTAATTGTCTTTTATTGTTTTATTTTTTTTTTTTAGGTGGTTGTTACCATAATTGTTGCATTCATCCTTGAAGCATTTATATTTCGGATGCAGTATAAATACAACAGAGGGAACACCACAGAAGAGAAAGATAATACAAATGGTAAGAATTCTTCTATGTGTTCTTTGTTTATGAATGTACCTGGGAATGTACTCCTTTAATGTAATCCATACTGTAAATTGACTGGCAGCTGGCACAGTAGCGTTCCTGCACTTGTATAACACATCTATGTTGAGGTGTATCTAGTTTAATAATTAGCTTTATAAGACTAGATGTGGTTAACCTCATAAAGCATTGTTTAATTATATATATTATATGAATATAAAGTAATACCTTTCCTTTAGTTTTGTTTAACTTGTAATTTTTGTTTTGGTTTTCAAGTTATCATTTTTCTGCTTTCATTTTAGTTCCAGGCTACTCTATCATTGTTTTTAATTTACTTTTAGTTAATTTTGCATTTTACATTTGTAAACATTTATATACCATTTCCTTGATATTTTATATTAAGGTGAGACTATTTTTATACCTTTTTTAGTGAACCATCCGATCGCCAAAAATGGTGGTTTTGAATAAGAAAATTATTATGTTTTTGGCCATTTAGCGCACCATCCGCTAAGAAAAAATTAGAAGTTTCATTTAAAAAAAAAAAAATGTGTGTTTTTATTATTGCTTCCCCTTCGCTGAAATCTCTAAATAAGATATATATTTTTGTCTTATATGAATTTAAAGCATTTATCAATCTCTTCATTACACTGTTTAATTCATTAGTACAATCTTATTTTTATTTTCTCCTCCGCGTAGATGGTTTTTGGCAATCTCATTATTACACTGTTTAATTCATTAGTTCAATCTTATTTTTATTTTCTCCTCCACGTAGATGGTTTTTGGCAAAACCATTTTGCTAAATGAGAGATCAAATGTTGTTTTGTTTTTTTCCGCCCTCCTTTGATAATCTTTAAAAAGGTAAGTTTGCTAAACAAGGTATAAAAAAGTCTCGCCTAAGTAAGGGTTATGGAGTACATTGATGATCATGTGATTGATATATCATATCATGTGATGGAAATGTCACATGAAATGGCAGTGTCATCACATATAATAATAAGTATGCATATTTTCAAAAAGCATTTTATTTTTTTCCAATGTGTTGGTAGTTGTGGTATTATAATGTTTAAATCAAATTAAAATTTTAAATATTTTCATAAAATAATTTTAATGCGGTTCTTCACTCCTTTTTTGCATTTAAAATGCGAAAAATTAAAAAATGATTACATATGATGTTACACAGGATTGGATTAAAGAGAACGACAGAAAGCTAGGCCAAGAGCTCCGAGCATTCCTTGGTGAGCAGTTTAACCTACAATCAATGAGGCCCTCTCCTGAAGGTAGAGATCGCATGGACAGTCCAGGGAACAACTCTGCGAGTGGATCACAAAAGGCCCAGATTACTGTTCATGCTCACCATCCCACCATTGATCATGAACAATCGCAAGTCATATAGCAAGAATCAAAGTGTGGATTCTTGCTTTTTGAGTTGAAGCCGGTTTCTTAGCCAATAAATGGAAAATAAACTTTGAACTAAATAATACATCTGCAAGAAGTGGCGCAATATTATCACTTGGTAGGACAACATAACTCAACAGCAGGACATCTTCATGGATAGTCAAACCAGTGCCTTTGTCAAGAATGAATATAGTTAATATATTCTGTCATGGATAATGACAAAATTAGGTAAACACATGTGCCTGGCCACTTGCAACTTGTCATAGCCTTTGTCCACTATATGGCTCCCATTTGGCTGGTGTTAAATATCAAGCTAAGTACCTGAAAAGTATATAAGTCAAGTTCATTACAAATATGTAGCTGTTTATATTTTCCAGTGTACATTGTTTACTCAATATTCATCATAATTTTGTGTGTTACTTGTTTCCCGTATCTAATTTACATTCCTTGCATTGTTTGAATGAATTTAAAGAGTAAATTTGGAAAAGACAAACCAAACCAGTCACTCCTTGTAGAAAAAAATATTAAGTTATTAATACAAAGTTAAACAGTTAAATAAGAGCTATGAAATTGTAAAAGAATCATTCAAATCCAACATTTTGTTATGAAGTAACAAGAATTTAAACATACAGCTGTTTAAAGAACAATATTTGAGAAATCAGCCATAAAGTTTATGATTTCTGGCATTTTTAAATCAGAAACCATCAGCAAATCATCAAAAATTGTTGTTTTAACATTGAAAATGTTGAAACTAATAACATAGCATGATGTATAGTTATATGGTTAGTTTAGTGCAATAAAATATATTTTAAAAATTTTGACATTCCAACATGTTTTGACCATTATCTCTGACACACGATTTGCGACGAGTGACTGGTTTGGCTTGTCTTTGCCACAAATATCTATCATCCATAGTAATATATTATTATTTATGTATTAACAAGTTAAATAAAGATGTATTCCTTGCTGACCCGTAAAACCGGGGCATTGACATTTAAAATATTTAAACCAAAAAATAAATAATTCCTGGCCAATTAACAGACCAATAAATTAAATCATTCCTATTTTCTTTGCATATAAAATTTTAATTATTAGGATATCTATACAAATATTTATATAGTAAGAAGTCTATGAATAAGCAAAAGCTAAATTGTTCGAATCAGTGTACGGGGCAGATGCAGAGATGGCTGAAAGTGGGGCCTATCAAGATAATACTACCCTACGGGTCCGAATTCATGCCCCCACAAAATTTTTTGTGTTGCCCGAAAATAACCTCTTAGGCGTTTTTGGCGATCAGTTTTTTCTTTTTCTTTCTTTCTTATTTTTTTATTTTATTTTATTTAATAAGGCACTCTGATCACTCTGCTCCTCGATTAACTCTGCCGCAGGTCCAATTATTAGACAATAAAGGAGAATTTAATCTTTTTTTAATCCAACACATTTCCCCATGTAAAGCCTGTCTTCATTGTTTACTGTTTTCCATCTCCATTGTCCTTCTCCAGGTGTTGAATGATATCTTTAAAATAATGAGAAAATCAATGTTTACATAGAATTTTTTTTATTTAATGCAGGCAGGATACAGTATGCCTTTAATCTAACATAAATACTCAGCTGTTGTATTGTTTTTTACATCAGCATCATTTAGTCTATTCACAATCCATTATATTCATGTCAGTGGTTTTACGAATGTCATTGACAGTCAAGTTAATATAAGCAGATTTCCAACCGCAATCTTATCATTGACGTCAGTTTCAATGTGGGGACATAAATCAGTCAAATGTGGACTTTTCTATGTGTATTTTGCGCACAACTGTTAACAGAAATTGTTGGACATATTCTTTTATCTAGTGTAGTTACAATATGTTATTGTTATAGTGCAATATTTTTTATGATTAAGTGATATTTCCAGAACAATGGTCACAAGTAGCTCCAGTCACTAAGCCTCGTAATGAGGCTCTGTTTATATAGAGCATCATGTGTATATGGTAAGTCGTGTTAAGTAGTTGCCAATTATTATGATTATGTTCACTGTTGGCAGTTGTTGGCAAATGTGCCCAAATGAATTGAAATATATTATTAATTACTTACCTAGAATGCTAAAAAGCCAGAAGTGGTACATACATCAGTTTTTCTTTCAAAGATGTTTTAACATTTATCATTATAATCATCATCATTTTCACTATCATTATCATCATCTTCACCAACACCATCCTCATCATTATCATCATCCTCCTCATGTTCTACGTCCTCTTCATCTTCATCATCACCATTATCATTTATAGATGTACCAGATGCTCCAATATCCAATTTGTGCTGTCCATGCACAGAAATACTAAATACAAACCTACACTATCAAATATTTGTAAAACTAATTAATGTATGTTCAGAACAAAATCAGCCTTTATCTGATGAAGGATTTTGTTTAATCAGATATATTTTAAACACACTGCGTTAGGGTCCTGCTTATAGTGGGCGACACTCAAAGCGAAATTGTCATTAAAAACGATCTGATGTGTGCGTCACGTCACATTTCATTGATTGATGACTGTCACACAATGTGTGCCTTGCTTTAAAATCATAGTCCATTAGATATTCTTTTTTGGTGGTTCTTTTGTCTTTTTTGTTTTGTCTTTAAAGATAAAATGTTATATATTATTTTATTGAATCAATTAGTAAATATATAGTACTACTGTATTGTTTTATGGATTACATTAAGTAAACACAGTCTATTGCAAGCCAAGTAATAAACAAGTTATAATTTTAATACAGTAATAATAACAAAATTATAATAATAATAATGACAGTAATGTGTTATTTCTACGGTTTCCCCCCTCGTTTGGTTCACCATTCTGTTCAGATGAATTGAGGAGAAATGTTCATTTGTTTCTTTAAAAATATATGGATAGATGGATATTAGAGTGAATAAATACATGAGTGAGTGAGCGAATGAACGAATAGATGGGTGGGTGGATGGATGGATGAAATGCATGGAAACATGATAGACGGATGAATAAAAGAACAAGTTGTTGGAGAATTAGGTTCCAAACTTTACCTCAGTTAGTAGTGACATTCCTTTATGTTTATTAACATTCACCAAACATAGTTTCACGTGGACAGTTTGTATATTTGTACTGGGTTTTAGGTCAGCAAAATTAATTGATTATATCATAGTTGGCCTACTTAAACACTGTCTATCATTCTTATAACCTAACGATTTTTTTCAAAGGTGATCAAAGGTTATTTAATTATCAAGTAAATAGCCTGTCATTTTATTTGTAACTAAATTTTTTACATGATTTTTTTTTCAAAGATAGATAAGATTGTCTTGCCCATTGTGTTACGTTCCCTTTTAGTAGTCACGTGATAATTTGATAGTCACGTATGTTAAATTTTTGAAAAATATAAGTATAGTAAGTAATAATCCGTCAAATACGTTATGTAAATCTATTCAGTCAAACTGGTGTTCAAATTAGGTGTGTTACTTATCTATCGTATTCAGATCAAACATAGTCAAGATTCTTAGTCTGGTTAAAGTGTATTGATCATGAACGTGTTGTGCTTTGCTAGATCCATGCTTACAGGTTCAGCTTTCTTCTGGAACTTGTTACGATATGATAATATCTTTTGAATTAATGTCTACAAATGTTGAAATGAGAGATAGGCTATTTTAAATGATGATTATGAAAGATATGTTTGTGTGTACAATAATATAAAGAATCAAAGACAATATATGATTTTATTTATTTTTTAATAAAATGTTATTATTGCTATACAGCTGTATGGAAACATGTACATTTCGTAGTTGATGCTTTATTGTGGTTGTGATTGCCTCATTGAACACTAATATCGGAAGATCAAAGCAAAGTAAATTGAGCGTGTTGGTGGTAAGTGGGTGGGGGAGGATGGGTGGCAATACGGTAGCCAGGTGCAGACCCAGAGATGTCCAAAAGCGGGAGGGAAGGGGCGAAAGTGGGACCGAGACAATACAACCCTAGCTGAATTTTTATGTTCTAGAAGCCCGAAAATAACCGTTTTTTCTTTTTATTTCTTAATTTAAAATTTTTTTTTTTACCTTCCAAAAGGATGGGCCGGGGCCTGGCCCGCCCCCCCCCCCCCTTAAAATATCCGGTCGCCTCTCTCTGACGAATGAAGCTGATATACTCTGACCCTCCAATTTTAATAGAGTTATGAGATCGGTACAAGAGGGTAGCATACTACAGTATTCGATTTAAAATTTATATCAGGAAAAGTAAACGTAAGTAATCTGATGCTACCTTATAAGGATTGCCAAGAATTTAAAATCTATGAAGTGGCTCTCTTGAAAGAAGTAATGAATAAGGGATTTAGCTGGAGACCCACAGTAGCAGTACTAATGAATAAGGGATTTAGCTGGAGACCCACAGTAGCAGGCGGTAGTCCTAATGCAGCACTACCTCTGAGGAAATTCAGTAGACCTCCGTCGATTGGAAGACATCTGCTTTTTACGAAGAGTTTACTGTTTTGGGCACATGTATAAGTACATGAAACCCAAAGATGTATATGGGCATATACCTGACAGTTTGAATGGAGAAGATAATGTAGGCCTATGTATAAGAATCGATTTGTGATTTGGTGGTTAGGATGCTAGCATCCCATAGTGCTGGGTTTAAAATTTTTAGTTATGTTTCCTCAAAACCAAAAAAAAAAATCCACCATCTATGCCAATAACGAGACTTAGCTTATTTATATATCGTCGCTCATATCAAAGTACCTGTAGACTGTTAGTTCGTGAAAACAAAAAAGTAAGTGCGTATCGTTTGTGATGTGAACGACGATTATATATAGGCAATCGTTATTGTGTAGGTCCATGAAGTTGTGTTGTAAAAATTGTCGCTTACTCCTATAAAAACAGAATATTCTCATTTTGCAATAGTTGACCCATGTTCCTAAATAAATTTATCACATTAATAAAAATTAATTAATTACACTTTCCCCACACGCTCTGAACACTACAGTATAACGCAATTTTATTCCACGGTACTATAACATGTTTCTACGGCCGTCGACGATAGTACCGGTTATTATTTTTTATTATTGAGCAAAGGTAAACATGATCCTAGACCTTATGTACACTTTGGATCCAGATAGGACCCACCTGTGTGTATTTCAAATATTAATGATGACGAATGTGCACATCATTCCCTGATAAGATAATTTTAATATCTGAATGATGGTTGTTGAGAAGCAGGGGAAAACCCCTTGTACACTGTCCATGAATTTCGGGGACTACAAACTAATTCTCTTACGATACTCGCGTTCAATTGCTCCAGTGGGTTCATTTTAGAGACCAGATTGTTTTCGAGTTGGAGAATCTCGTCAAAATGGAGGAATATTCTTCTTTAATGTCTAATGAAAGTGCCGCTTCAGGTAAGTTTCCCAAATAGTATATTTTGCTTTTGATTAACTATCAAAATTCTGCCTGGCTATTCAAATATTCATGAAACAAATTCTCATGGCTTTAATTGGTCTCTCTCATCAATTTAAGTGCTGTCT